GTTAATCATCAAACGTAGTCAAATGTGAACACCTAATCCTGTGTAATACCGCAATGTGGCGCATAGATATAAACGCTTCAGACTGTGGGCCTCGTGTAAAACCCCAAGAGATATAAGAAGATATCTGCAAACAAACGCAGCTGTGGGAAGACTATGAAAGCCAGTGAAGCTAACTAGAACTATAAATATTTTTCTATTTCCTTAATATGAATCTCCGAATGTCCATCAGCAGTGATGCTTCAAAAAATGATTAAACACATATCTGTTACTGTTTGAAACTTTGCATTTTTGTAGTCTTTTAGCTACTATGCTAACATTTAAAACACAGTTACCTAATCATACCTCGAATCATTTTCCCTACCTGTACCCTTATTTATACACAGGTTAGGCTCATAGGCCTTAATTACATTGCACCAAATAAATATTATTTTTCTTGTACATGCAGCTACACTGAACAATCCACTTCAAATTTTTAATTTTGTTCTCAATTAACCTGCCCACTTCCTCCAAACCTGTTTCTTGTCTTAACCAAAAAGGATAGGCCTACATTGAAGAAAACTGGAAACCAGTGGTGCCCTTATATTTTCTTTAAAGGGCCAAAAAGCAAACTTGATTGAGGGCTGTGGGCCGAATACATACCAAATATAATAAATTTGCCATGATGGGTAATTTTTTACATTTTTTCTCTAATATTTATTAATAACTAGAAAACATTACATTAAATCATATTACCCAATACAGTATAATTTGATAAGATTTTACAATGAACTTATTACAGTAAAAACAAACAATCCCATTTAAATCAACACAATGGAGTTCAATGCTGATTACACTAGTCAGCTGCTCCTGCCTTTACCTTGATTTGCTCAAAGGTGTCTTGTGCATTGTCCTCTTTCTGTCCAGTGACAGTATTTACATTTTAGAAGTCTGATTCATTTGTAATCGTAATTTCTGGTGGATTGTAATGTAGCTCAGCAATAAAACAAAGAAACAAAAGGTTACGTTAAATTTGAAATGACAATCTTTGTCAAAGGAATTCACCCCAACTACCCTCCCATCTTTCTCCCTCTCTTTTCAAATGGGATAGTGGGCCAAATAAAAGGTTACCCTGGACCAACTTTGGCCCACAGGCCCTACTTTGGGCATCTCTGCTTTAAGCCAAAATTGACTTTTATTTTTATGAAAGTAAATCAGTTGCGAAACTCGAGAGCTTGCAAATGTAAATGTGAGCACTTGTGATAATAATATTTGTATGTGTAGGTTGAAATGTACACTTACAGCTCTGATGTGAACAGCTGAAATCTCCGATTTGCACACACACACAACAATCCACACACTTGTGTTTTAAATTCGAAGTTGCAGATTAATAGTTGTGTATTTGTAAAATGTCATTCACAAATACAAAGTGACAGACACATGTGTGCACGGCAAATTTGACTGCATCTTCGCTCTACAACCACAGGTCGGCACTCACAACCTCTCAGATTCGTCAGTACAACTACAAATCTCCCGCGCTCTGACTTTTGCTACACATCTCCCGCGATCTCTGTAGCAGAACTCATCTGTGCACTTGCAGATGCAGAGGCGTGAGCAGCGCGGGGCGGGGGAGGGGCGGGGCTGGTGTAAAGCTGTTTGATTGGCTGATGCCTGACCAATGAACAATGCCAGCAGCCAACAGGACTGAGGTGCAAAATAATCATTTCCCACGATTATTTTATTATTTAGGGTTTATTTAAACTCTTTTCTGAAGAGATTCTTGTTAAAAATAATAAATTCTGTGGAAATGTACATACCAGTAAAAGAGCAGCAAAGCCAGTTTATTGGCTAGAGCCAGCCAATGAGATGGGGCGTTTCTGTTTGTCAGGACACAGGGCAGCTCACGTTGTTGGAGGCCTCGAGCAATCAGAGGGTAAGTTATGATTTTTAATAATTATCTATATGTTCAATACTGTTAGCTAAGCTAAGGACTGTGCTGGGTGCTTCTCTTGTTTGTTTCTTATATAAGAAAACAGTTATGAGTTATCTAGGAGCTGCTTTCAATCATGTTATATGGTTCTAAAGATACGATTCAACCCACATGAAATAAGAAGTTGTAATAGTATTTATAGTAAATATTAGTACGTTTTTGAACCATACTAACTATAGTAAACTGTATTATACAGTATATATTGCAGTATCTACAACTTTGTTAATGAATGCAACAGCACACTGTAGTATTAACTAGCATGAACTTTAATAAATTGAAGTATACTTGTATGTATGTATATATATATATATATATATATATATATATATATATATATATATATATATAGCTTAAATTTGAAAAAAATTGAAATATAGCTATCTGTTAAAAACTAAACATTCTAATGTCATTTATTATGCAAATATCAAGTTGAAACAAATCTGTTAAGAATACGTATTTATATGTAAAACCTAATACATTTTAAAGCAGTTTCATTTCTTTCTAATTTTTACGTCTACATGCATTACATCTGATTTAGGTCCACAACTTGCATCCTTCAACATGATATGTGTGTTCAAAGGAAGAGCAACTAGGTGAGGGAGACAGTGTCCATCGCTCGGCTGAGGGTCCACTTTGAGCATCTCATCTGCAGGGTTAAGCAACATAAGCTGAACAGTCATCATCTCTCTCTATTACAGCGAGCATCAACCAGCTTTACACAATGGCTTGCTTTCTGACCATTAGTTAAGGCTTGAGCAAAGTATTAAAGAGGAGATAACATTTGATGGGTAATGATGAAGTTGGATTTACCACCTCCATCTCATTATGAACAAGGAAAAACCCTGAAATATTTCAATACAAGTAACTAGACATTTGCACTGCACTTATTTGGACTGTAAATTTTATTTGACAAATTACATTCCCTTACAGAACAGGTGTCAAACTCAGTTCCTGGAGGGCTGCAGCTTTGCAAAGTTTAGTTCTAACCCTAATTAAACACACCTGATCAAACTAATTGAGTCCTTCAGGTTTGTTTGAAACTTTCACTTAAGTGTGTTGAAGCAGGGTTGCAACTAAAAACGTGAAGGGTTACGGCCCTTCAGGAACTGAGTTTGACACCCCTGCCTTACAGTAAAGTGTAAAAATACTACATTAAACAATTATCAAAATAAAAGTTGTGTTTGTGGGTGAGTGTGTGTTTTGTTCAAATCTGTAGTCATCTTGGCAAGAAAAAAGAGAAAATAAAGTCGGCTTCCTCTTGAATGATCTGAATCATTTTGAAGTGTTTGTAGATGAGCTGGATCATCATGTCATCTTTAGCATAAATAACATCCTATTCAAGCTATGCAGCTTCTCTGAGTTCCTCATCGACTTGAAACATGCTGATCTCTCCTGTCACTCCATCCTTACAGGAAACTGAGAAATAACCTATAGTTAGTAACGTTCATAATTAAAAAAGTGATATAAAGGACACACTGTACACAAACATGTAAATAGATAGATGGATAGATAGATATGATGCAGGTTATAATAACAAAAACCGGTATGATCTGTAAGAAACTGAAACGCCTAGTGTTATTTTTAATTGCTATTAATGTGTGTGTGTGTGTAAATATACTTCAATTCATTAAAGTTCATGCTAGTTAATACTACAGTGTGCTGTTGCATTCATTAACAAAGTTGTAGATACTGCAATATATACTGTATAATACAGTTTACTATAGTTAGTATGGTTCAAAAACGTACTAATATTTACTATAAATACTATTACAACTTCTTATTTCATGTGGGTTGAATCGTATCTTTAGAACCATATAACATGATTGAAAGCAGCTCCTAGATAACTCATAACTGTTTTCTTATATAAGAAACAAACAAGAGAAGCACCCAGCACAGTCCTTCGCTTAGCTAACAGTATTGAACATATAGATAATTATTAAAAATCATAACTTACCCTCTGATTGCTCGAGGCCTCCAACAACGTGAGCTGCCCTGTGTCCTGACAAACAGAAACGCCACATCTCATTGGCTGGCTCTAGCCAATAAACTGGCTTTGCTGCTCTTTTACTGGTATGTACATTTCCACAGAATTTATTATTTTTAACAAGAATCTCTTCAGAAAAGAGTTTAAATAAACCCTAAATAATAAAATAATCGTGGGAAATGATTATTTTGCACCTCAGTCCTGTTGGCTGCTGGCATTGTTCATTGGTCATGCATCAGCCAATCAAACAGCTTTACACCAGCCCCGCCCCTCCCCTGCCCAGCGCTGCTCACGCCTCTGCATCTGCGAGTGCACAGATGAGTTCTGCTACAGAGATCGCGGGAGATGTGTAGCAAAAGTCAGAGCGCGGGAGATTTGTAGTTGTACTGACGAATCTGAGAGGTTGTGAGTGCCGACCTGTGGTTGTAGAGCGAAGATGCAGTCAAATTTGCCGTGCACACATGTGTCTGTCACTTTGTATTTGTGAATGACATTTTACAAATACACAACTATTAATCTGCAACTTCGAATTTAAAACACAAGTGTGTGGATTGTTGTGTGTGTGTGCAAATCGAGGATTTCAGCTGTTCACATCAGAGCTGTAAGTGTACATTTCAACCTACACATACAAATATTATTATCACAAGTGCTCACATTTACATTTGCAAGCTCTCCAGTTTCGCAACTGATTTACCTTCATATATTTTTGGCTTTATGGTATTGAAAATATCTCCAAAAAATCTTCTTTTGTCTTCATCAGGTGAAAAGAAATTCTAAAGGGTTTGGAACTAGAATGTGAGAAAATAGTGAGTAAATGTTAATTATTAGGTGAACTACATTATTTCTTTAAGAAGCTACAAAGTAGGACGCTAAATACAATAATTACAACATATGTAAAACTTTAAGTATTAATTACTATCAAAGTTTTAATCTCAATGTTTGTAAATGAGATTTAATAAGTACCTCCACACTAGAAAGAGAAAAACACATTGCCTGTAACTTTAAACTGGGGGTGTTACATTAATGAGGTCAAAGACTCAGTCCTCAAAGACACTCCAGCTATGACGTCCTAAATATCCTGCCGAAGTCAACTTCCACTCCAGCGTGAACAATTGCAACCAATGGAGATTCCAATCTTTACGGTTGATGCATTTACAAAAGTACCTTTCAAGGGTAATCCTGCAGCAGTTTGTCTTTTAGAAAATGTAAGTACCACAGTTTCTTTTCGCTTAAACGTGTTAGCCTGTTACAATGTCATATTAAACTGTTGACATGTGTTTTTCAATGATACGTTTAGGAGCTGCAAGATGATATTAAACAGAGCATTGCTGCAGAGATGAATTTATCAGAGACGGCTTTTATCACAAAACACATTTCAGTTGACTTTTCCTCAGGTATTGTGTTGTTGCTAACTGAAAAGCTCAAATAGCTCTGATTAACTTGTGTCTACTGTTGTTGGTATTATGTATTTTAAAAGGTTCAAGGTTTGGATTACGCTGGTTTACCCCAAAAAGTGAGATTGCGCTATGTGGACATGCAACACTGGCCTCATCAGCAGTGCTCTTTTACCTTAAAAGTAAGAAATGCTTGGGGTGTAACGGATCGCAAGAGTCACAGTTCAGATCATATTACAGTTTGTGAGTCACAGATCGGGGCATTAGATCAGTGCAAAAGGGGGGTGGGGTGGAATATAGTATGGAAAAAACTAATCTAAAGTCATAAAATAAATTAAAAAAAAAAACTAATTTGCAATAGCCAAATTCCCTTTCAAGTTTGTTCAATGGAGGCCATATTTGCAATGCCTCAGGGCAACTATTCAGGTATGAAAGACCAAGTGCTGTGTATATGAATGGGGTAATAGTGAAAACGTCTTGACAAATTAACAGTTAAATGGCACATTTCAAATCAGCTACAAAAGCTGGCAAAAATTGTGTTCCTTCTACAGGAATGTGTACGTATAAGGTTGATCTGGCAAAGACACTTGGCAGTCTCAGGTTTCTATGATGCCAGAGCTCCTCAAACAGCTGACATGACACAATGACTTTACCTATTGACAACTGGCTCCTTTATATAGACTGCTGGGTGTGTTTTGCAATATCGCTTTTCATAATTCAGTGAACTGATTTAGTATATCCAAAATCTTTGGTGCAGGACAAATAACTGGCTAAAAATAAAACTTGAACAAACCGTCTTATATGTTTGTCTAATATTCATGAACAAAATATAAATTGACACTGAATAATCTTAAAGAGATAATTCACCCCAAAATTAACATTCGCTGTTATTGTACTCTCTCTCAAGTCATCTAAAATGTAACTGACATTTCATCATCAGTGGAGGATTACAAAACCTCTCTCTGAATCTGTGGTCACTGGTGATTAATAAAATGCAACAGCTACTAGCAAACAGCCTGAAATGCAAGCTTCCTGTTGCATAATTATGAATATTCAAGAGCAACCTGTCAAAAATCAGCATTTCCAATTGAGATCTTGCATGCAATCATAACTTTGCTGACTGCAGAAAGCAGATTAGCACAATTAACAGTTTTGAGCAGTGTGTACTTATTAAGACATGAACACTGGTGGTGCAACGACACTATTGATGATTTTAACAGTTGGGTTTTTGAAGATTCTCCCAAGATTGGGATTTTGACATAATTGTGTATGTATTTGTTCTTTTCAAGCCCTGCATGAATAGTCACTTCCTCCTAAGTAACTAGTTAAAAGCTTTTATCCAAGTTAACCAATATTACATTCACAACACATACCCCAGGAGACACTTGTTTCTAACACAAACCTCTCCTCGCTTTCAGATGAAACAATTACCTTTCTTTACAACATGAGTTTGCACATGTGTATTTTAAAGTACATCAGATCCAGCTCCTCCTCCTATAAGCTGTTTTAATGCATAAACCTACCCAGCCCATAACCAAAACTTCAATTCCCAGTGACATCACTTGTAGAACAAGAGCAGCAAGGCAGAGCTTGAGCTCAAGCTCCCCCTTGCTGGAGCTCAGCTCTGCCCATGTTGAACAAGCAGGTGGCAATAAAAACTTTTCACGCCAAATGCAGAATTAGGTATTCATGCAAATGAGTTGCAGATGATGCAGTAGGTAGTGCTGTTGCATCACAGCAAGATGGTCACTGGGTAGCTGGTTCGAGTCTCGGCTCAGTTGGCGTTTCTGTGTGGAGTTGGTTGCGGCTGGGAGGGCATCCGCTGCGTAAAAAAGGTGCTGGATTAGTTGGCGGTTCATTCCGCTGTGGCGACCCCAGATTAATAAAAGGGACTAAGCTGACAAAAAAATGAATGAATGAATGCAAATGAGTTGCATACAAAAACAATGCCTGCCATGAACAAGTGGATATCGTGTTTGGTGTGAATCCAACTGTGTTGGCCAATCAAAAAGCAAAAAATAGCACGCACTATGACATCATGAGGCCACATGACCACACTGTAAAAGTAAAAAAAAATTCTGAAAGTTTTGCTTTCAGTGACTCGATACTGTGTTTTTGTGTGGATGAATGGCCAAAATGAGTACAAAATTACTGCTGTTTTGAAAATGCGTATGTGGACAGAGCCTGAGAGAAAGAGTTGAAAGAGAGAAAGAGCCTGGGAGAAACAAAGTTGCAGAGTGTCAGTGCAGAGCTCATTCATATTCATGATCATTCCAAATATGGTATAAATAATATATAATATTAATTTTAAGCTGATATGTAGATATTAGAGAACAATTGAATTAATATTGAAATATTTAATAATGGGAACACTTTATTTTGATGGTCCATTTGAGTATAAGTAGACTGCTTAATATTTGCTGGTTCTGCTCCTTTAACAGACATTTAACTGACTATAAGAAATTTTGCAAGTACTAGTCAGCTCACACTAACCCTAACCCCAACCTATCAGTCTACTTAAAATATAACGAGAATTAGTTGGTATTAACCATCAAAATAAAGTGTGACCTGAATAATTGCTAAATAACACCTTTAATATCATTTGCAGCATTCATGATGAAGCAGGGCAGAATTCAACTTTGCAATTAATATGCACAATGCATCCTGAATTTTGTGGTGTGGTTTGTTCAATCGTGATCCGTTACACCCCTAGGAAGCACTGGTTTTCCATTCATTTTAACGGTGGTATCAGACTGTGACCTTACTAAACTCACAATATCATCACAGAAAACATCAACCCTGTTTTGGTGTTTGAGACTATGAGTGGGGAGCTTTATGTGCGTCAGCATGAAGACTCAATAATAATGGACTTCCCTTTAAACAAACCACAGCCGCAGGTATGACAAATATACATCTTGTAGACATAAAACTAATACGGTTTCTCAAAACTAAGTAGTCAGCTTTGGTCTGAACATGTTGATTTACTTCCAGGACCCACATGAAAACATGGATATTTTGAAGGTACCTGCCAAGTTTAAGCATGACAACAGTTGAGTTATTTTTTTGTTGATGCTGTTCGCAGTATTTTGCATTGTCAGGCTGCTGTTGGAGATTTACCCATTGAGGACGTGTGTTACAGTCCAGCCATGAGGATACTGATGGTTCGTCTGGCTGACACATGTGACAGGTATTTGTGGATATTGATGCGATAATTAATGTCAATAGATGAACAAAAGACAAGCAGCTCAAAGAAAAAAATAACTATTACAAATTGTAGGTCAAGACAAATATTTAAAATATTTCTAGAACAACAATCAACTATTGATGCAGGTAATAGACCTGTTGTATATTGGTAATAAATGTAAAAAAAAAATCTTATCTAAGCAAATTCTGCAAGGTTGTTGTCTGTTGTTGTTGGCAGGTCTGAACTTATAACTTTGAGTCCCATAGCAGAAGCTTTACTTAAAAGCGATTCCACTGGAAAAACAAAAGGTGTCCTTGTAACAATAAAAGGAACTTCAAATGCACAGCCTGGATATGACTTCTACTCCCGTTTATTTGCTCCATGGTTTGGAATCTTTGAGGATCCAGTTTGTGGTGAGTTAAAATAATGACAATTTAGAAACCTACTAACATGAGAAAAAAATGATGCACAATTTTCCCCATGTGAAATAAAGTAAAGTGATGATTTTAAATTGGTTACAGCTGAAATGCAAAAGGGTAGCTAAATAAATATTATATGAATTCATTCATGCTTTAAATGACTAACATTTTTTGACAGGGTCTGCACATACACTTCTTGCTGCCTACTGGTCTGAAAAGCTGAATAAAAAGAAATTGTTGGGTAAAAACCTCTTCCCATTTATCAGAATCCACATGCAAAGAAACCACAGATCCATGCAATTAATTTTATTAAAGATTTCTGTATTTTGTGATTCATGTTTTTATTTTTCTCTAATTATTTATGCTTCTGATTTGTATCTTGATCTTTCCTCCAGCAACGATTAACCTCAATTTATTTATGAATAGTAACTTTTAGTAACATTTCTAATAGTTTAAAGGGATATATTTTCTGGGTTTGTGTTGTATATTAGGTACAAAAGCTTGTAATAAACTGCCTGTACATTTTTTGTTATTTTACAGATGTATTTCTCTATATGTTATTTCTTTTACATTGTATTATTTCAAACTACTAAAAAGACAAACTGCAGAGTTAAATTTTTAACAACAAAAGTCATCATCAGAGCGGGCGCAGTAGGTAGTGCTGTTGCCTCACAGCAAGAAGGTCGCTGGGTCGCTGGTTCGATCCTCAGCTCAGTTGGCGTTTCTGTGTGGAGTTTGCATGTTCTCCCTGCGTTCGCGTGGGTTTCCTCCGGGAGCTCCGGTTTCCCCCACAGTCCAAAGACATGCGTTACAGGTGAATTGGGTAGGCTAAATTGTCTGTAGTGTATGAGTGTGTGTGAATGAGTGTTTGTGGATGTTTCCCAGAGATGGGTTGCGGCTGGAAGGGCATCCGCTGCGTAAAAAACGTGCTGGTTAAGTTGGCAGTTCATTCCGCTGTGGCGACCCCAGATAAATAAAGGGACTAAGCCGACAAGAAAATGAAAGAATGAATGAAGTAATAAGAGCAGAGATTAAGGTCCCATAATGCAATTCACAACCATAAATAAATGAAATCACAAAATACAGAAACTATAAATTAACAAATATAATTTACAATATGTCTACTTAAAAACTTTGCAAATAATGTTTAAAAGGTACCATTTGTTTTGTTATTCCAGCTTACCAGTGCTCCAGTCGTGGAGGGGAACTGGAGCTGGAAGTGAGAGATGATGGTCGAGTAAACATCATTGGTCGGGCACAAATCATTCTTCAAGGAACTCTTAAAGTATAGCAAATGTAGTTTTTCAATCTGCAATAGATTAATAAGAACAAAAGACAAGTCCAAAGTCAAGTCCAAAACCTGCCGTCCGATATTTTATTAACTTATTGCCACTTGAGTGCAAAACACAATAAATCTACATTACAAAATTACATTTTAGACCATATTAATGTTTTATTTAGTGCTGGGCACAGACTAATCTCGATTAACCACTCCCAAAATCAAAGTTTGTTTGACATAATATATGTTTATGTATTATATATATATTTTATGTATTATATATATATATATATATATATATATATATATATATATATATATATATATATATATATATATATATATACACACACACACACACACACACACACACACACACACACACACACACACACATTAAAAACCTTCACAAAAATGTTGTTGCATAGATAATTAAGTTTATATATAATCTGATCAATAAATAATCTAAATATGAATAAACATTTTCTCAAATATATGAATGCATGTGTGCACAGTGCATCCAGTAAGTATACATTTTTAATGTAACAGCCGTATTCCAAAATGGATTAAATTCATTTTTTTTTTTTTTTAATGAAAAATCACATGTACATTAATATTCACAGTCTTTGCTCAATATTTTGTTGATGCACCTTTGGCAGCAATTACAGCCTCAAGTGTTTTTGAATTTGATGCCACAAGCTTGGCACACCTGTCTTTGGGAATTTTTGCCTATTCCTCTTTGCAGCACCTCTCAAGCTCTATCAGGTTGCAAGCTCTGTCCTGACTAGTCTTCCAGTTCCTGCTGCTGAAAAACATCACCACAGCATGATGCTGCCACCACCATGCTTTACTGTAGGAACGGCTTTAGCCTGGTGATGAGCAGTGCCTGGTTTTCTCCAAACATACTGTTAGGCATTCACTCAAAAGAGTTCATCAGACCAGAGAATTTTGTTTCATATGGTCTGAGATTCCTTCATATGCCTTTTGGCAAATTCCATGTAGGCAGTGGCTTCTTTCTGACCACTCTACCATACAGGCCTGGGGTGCGTTTCCCAAACAAAGACGTAACTAAACTATCATGGTACGATGCATCGTTTGGGAAAAGAACAATGTTGTGAAGAGTGTTTCCCAAAACCCGTAGTTTCTCTGTCGCAGATCCATCGCTTGAACCATGTTAATTATTATTATTATTATTATTATTATTATTATTATTATTTTTATTATTAGGTAGGGTATTGTTTATTTATACATTTTTTTTAAAAGTCTACTTTTACTATTTGACTCTTGTAAACCACAGCAGAAAGTTCTAGCCAGCAGGCCCATGTCATATACAGTACAGATACTTAATAAATAACCTGGTATAAATTAAAAGAATTAACGTACGCTTTTTGTTTTCACAAGCTTTGGAGACTTAACATAAATTCCGCTTTTAAATAATAGGTATAGATTTCGCCATGAGGCTGTGTTTTAAATGACATCAATGTTTTTAAAGTGCACTGTGAAGTGAGCACAACTGTTACAATGAAGATCGCTAAAACTGAACTTTAAAAATAGTTTGGAAGCAAATTAGACCTAAGAGAGATGACTTTAATTCTTTTTTTACTTTTCATAATTTCAACACCTAGCTGTAGTTGTGAGAGCTCAAGTTTGCGATGAAGTTTGCAAATGTTCGTTGGAGCGACGGATTTGGGAAATGGCAAATCAACACACTATGCTTGTAACAACGGAACTTGCGACCTTAGTTGGCTAACGATGGTTTTGGGAAACGCACCCCTGATTGTTGGATTGCTGCACAGATGGTTGTCCTTCTTTAAGGTTCTCCTCTCTCCGAAGAAGAATGCTGGAGCTCAGACAGAGTGACCATCAGGTTATTGATCACCTCCCTGAGTAAGGCCCTTTTCCTCTGATCACTCAGCTTAGATGCCGGCCAGCTCTAGGAAGAGTCCTGATGGTTCCAAACATCTTCCATTTATGGATGATGGAGGCCACTGTGCTCATTGGAACTTTCAGAGCAGCAGAAAATTTTCTGTAACCTTCCCCAGCGTTGCCTTGAGATAATCCTGTCTCAAAGGTCTAAAGACAGATCCTTTGTCTTCATGCTTGGTTTATGCTTTGACATACACTGTTAATCCTGTGACCTTATATAGACAGGTATATGCCTTTTCAAATCATGTCCAATCAACTGAATCTACCACAGTTGAATTCCAATTAAGCTGCTGAAACATTTCAAGAATGATCAGTAGAAACAGAATGTACCAGATCTCAATTTAGAGCTTCACAACAAATAGTAATGTACTGTGAATACTTATGTATACATGTGATTTTTCATTTTTTTATTTTTAATAAATTTGCAACAATTATATTTTGTTCACATTGTTATTATGGGGTATTGTGGGTGGAATTTAGAGTAAATGAATTAATATCATCCATTTTGGAATAAAGCTGTAAGATAAAAAAATGTGAAAAAAGTGAAGAGCTATGAATACTTTCCGGATGCACTGTAGTTAAATATAGATGATAAATATACACAGTACACAGACACACAGTAGAAACCAGAAGTTTACATACACTCTAAAAGAAGGAACATAACCATTTTTAAAAAAATGTCTGATTGTAAATCATACTAATCATTTTCTATTTTAGGTCTGTTAAATGCCAGAATAATGAGAGAATTTTGTTTTAGAGATTTTTTTATTATTTGATAATACAGATAATACAATTGACAGTCAAAAGTTTACCTACATTTCTTTGGTGTTTTTTTTTAACTTTGCTTTTAACTGTATAACTTTGGTTAGATGTTTTGGCTATCCTTCCACAAGCTTCTCACATTAGTTTGAAAGAATTTTGGCCCATTCCTCATGACAGAATTGGTGTAACTGAGTCAGATTTGTAGACTGTCTTGCTCGCACAAGCTTTTCCAACTCTGCCCACAAATTTTCTATAGGATTGAGATCAGGGCTTTGTGATGGGCACTCCAAAAGATTCACTCTGTTGTACTTAAAGCACATTTTAACTAATTTATGCTAAGGGTCATGGTCTGTTTGGAAGTTTTAATTTCCTGGCTGATGTCTTGAGATGTTGCTTCAGTATTTCCACATGATGTTCTTTCTTCATGATGTCATCTATGCTGTGAAGTGGACCAGTCCCTCCTGCAGCAAAACAGCCCCACAACATGATGCTGCCGCCCCCATATTTCACAGTTGGTATGGTGTTCCTAGGCTTGTAAGATTTTCTCTATGTCCTCCAAGTGTAATACTGGTCATTATGTCCAAACAGTTCTCTTAGTAAATCTTAGTTCCATCAGACCACAGGACATGTCTCCAAAAATGATTATTTTTCCCAGTGTAATTTAGCAAATTGTAATCTGGCTTTTTTGTTGACTCTGGCTTGCCATGTTGTCACACAAGGAAGCAGTGTGTTTGAGGTTTTACTTAAATACAATTCTACAGTTGTGCCTCCAATTAACTCAAATGTTGTCAATTAGCCAATCAGAAACTTTCAAAAGCTTGACACCATCAGCTTTTTCAGAGGCATAATAATCTTCTTTTATGTAAACTTGACTTTCAAGAAAAGTTATAACAATTTCTCAAAAATATCTCTCTCATTATTCTGCTATTAAGCAGAACAGAAACAAATATAATAATGATAATATAATAAAAAATATATAATAATGATAATCCTAACTTACCTAAAAGAGAAAAAGTTTAGTCACATTAACATCTGACTTTGTTTAAATGGTTATGTGCTTTTTTTATACAGTGTATGTAAATTTCTGGTTTCAAATAAAATAATAAAAACTTTCATTTTGGATGTGATTAATCGTGATTGATTTTTGCCCAGTATTATTCTTTTTATGCCTACATTCTTTCAGCTTGTGAATACTTCGGTGCTGGATAACATGCACGCTGGTCATTAGCTTTTACTGGAGGAGAAGGGGGTATATGTGCATTATTTGTTAAATATAACAAATAATTGTGTGCCTGATGTTACAAATATTATCAATATTAAATTTTTGAGCCACACAACATATTGATACTTAGTTTGTACAATGCCAAAATAATTGGATTGAATTGCAAAAAGTACAATTTACATCAAACCCAATTTATGTAAATAATGTTTTGCTGGGGAAAAATCTGTGGATAAGGTTATAGGATATTTATCTGATAACAGACACACTTTTCTCCAGCAAATCAATTTTTCCTTTAATAAAGAGATCCAGTAGGACTGGATATAAGGTACAGGATTTCATTTTGGAAAAGAGTATGAATAGCTTTAATATGTATTTTGGTATTCCTTGTAAAACAAACTTTAACAACATAAGATTTAGTAATATCAAAAGACATGGTATCTGGTCTTTATTAATACCTCTAAACATTGGGACCTGAAGGACTTGAACCAATAACAGTTGAAACCTCTTGTTTGAGTAATTGACATTTTGTAATAATAGCAGAATTCATTTTAGGAAAAGAGAATTTCTTTGTTGTAAAACTGACTCACCAATATAATATTGTCAAACCAATTCTTTTAATAAAGGGCTTTGTGTTTGTACCAAATGTTTCTATTTTTTCAAATAAAATAGACATGTGGGGAGAAATGATGCATACTGTATATGTAAATGACCAAGATAGTGACACTTGTTTGTGAAAGGCATATAACTTAACTAGAATTTAGTCTATATTGTAATTGCTTAAAAGATTAAGTTTTGTAAGAAATGCTGTATATGTTTTATGTACAGTAATTGTTAGTTATACGACAATTATATATTATATATTATATATACGACAATATATACTGAAATGGAGGATTTAATCATATTATTTAAAAAAAAACTATATTTTAAAGGGCACCTATTTTACCTCTTTTTCAAGATTTAAGATAAGTCTTTTGTGTCTTCCAAATGTGTCTATAAAGTTTCAGCTCAAAACATCCATCAGATTATTTATTATACCTATAAGAATGTAGGATTTTTC